AGACAGGTTTTCCAAATTTGAGCCCGAATTTATCATCCAATCGGCGTGAAACTGTTCTTCGTCTCGCTTCTGCACCTTTTTGAAGAAATGCGACTCTGATTTCCTTTTAACAACTTGAAGGTGACTGCGAAACAATGATTTTGAATGAGGCGGTCATCTCTGGGTTACGAGAGGCTACACCAAATACTTGGACTATAAAGCAAGAGGAACGCCACGCAAAAGGTTGATTGAAGGTGTCAAGGAAACTCTGAGAAATCAATTTCCTAAGAACTGCGGAGCAGGCCTGCCGTAGAAAACTGCATCATCTCCCCTTGACGTTTAACGGCAATAGAGGATGAAAAAGCAAACGTTAGAAAAGTAAGGTCATCTCTTCTTGTCACAATACGTTCCAAAATTATGATAAAATTAACAATAGCGTTGTGGATACGCTGTCTTGCTACATCCCATTAAGGATAAAATGTCATTCTGTGAGTAAACTGAGCTGCTGTGAGCCATTATTTGGACTCTTTGAAAGTCCGAAAGTGTGATTTCCCTCACAATATTTTAAGTGCATTTATTGATCAAGAAAAATACTTTCAGACAGATTCATAGCCTTCAAAGTACCGACTGAATGCACCGGGAACATTCAATCTTTACGTGTCACGCAGTAGAGCAGAAATAGTGGAAGGGATTCCTAAAAAGTTTTGGAAGATAATGCAAAATGTAGCAATAACAGAAACATTGCGTATTAATGCTAGGTGGTCTTAAACGTCAGGCCACGACTGTCGCATTTGGTTTTGTTTTTCATTTATTTCAGTTTCAAAAAATAATGTTTGCTTCAATTTCTACTCTTTAATTAACTGTTTCGTGTGTCTGTAACAGCTTATGACAATTTGGACCGACCGCGACCACTGCTGAACTGCTGACGACCATCAGCTTAACGGTGAGAAGGGAAGTGTTTACAAAATCTTGACAACCTTTGATGGTACTAAAAAAAAGATAAACTGAAGTAAAATGTGGAAACTAGGAGAGGTCAGAAAAGTGAAACGACGCGTGGTGAAAATGAGTGCCATCGAGGCAGTGGAGTGCATGGTTGGGAAATTTATTTCCGGAGAAAAAATAAAGATGTGACTAGTTTAAAACTACTTTTTTCTTGTTATACCATTATTATATTATTTCTCGTATTAAAAAACAAAACAAAAACAAAATCTAAATACGAACAACGATAGCTCAGTCGGTTCCATGTCTCACTAGTGTACGAGTGACCTGATTAACCCACAGTGAACGCAATGTTTTGGGGTACCTTAAAAATGAATCGCGACTTCATTATTCCTACATATTTTTCAATATTGTTTTCTTAATCTGAAACTTTAAAAAGGCAGGCAACATCATACATGTGCAAATTCGTGGGTCTGATTTTGTGTTTGATGGTTTGAAATATGTGCAACATTGCTTTTGGTCTGCAGAGCTGTAATATTAGTCGGAGTTATAAGATAAGATAAGTCTTTATTGTCCAGATCCACGCACACACATACACACACTCATACACACACACTCACACACACTCACGTACACAAACACGCACACACACACACATACACACACACCAACAAACATGCACAGTGTATAACAGTATACTTGCACTCACAAACAGGTTCACAGTCACATGCATAATATAAATGAACGTAATATAAACAATACTTATATCAAAATAGATACGTACTCATACTCTGAATGTAACTCAATGGTATTCTGATGCATGCTCTAAGCTCATATGACTACATATAAGAACATTTTAAAAATGTGTCCGCTTCGTCCTCAGTGTAAATCGACGTCCGTGGTGTAGCGGTTAGGCACTTTCCAGCGCTCATTTAGATTTGGACAGAATTTAGCGGGGCAAAGAAGTGTAGGAAATGACAGCATCTTTCATATAACACAAAAATAAAATTGGTTAGTGGTTACAACCTGGCAAGCATAAAAACTAATAAATAGTAACCTGTACTTACGGTGTAACAACCGACCGCACAAAATACTTAAAACTATAGGAGGACAGTGTCAAAAAGATGCTTCCAGCTTTTCAGCACTCACAAAGGTTTGGATAGAGTGTAGCTGTGCAAAAAAGCCTATAAAATACAAGCACTTATGGTAAAACACAATAATGAGTTGGTGGTTAAAACCTGGCACAGAAGCTAATTAATTAGAAAAAGTAGTTAGTGTGTAACGACCGACCACACAAGTAACTCATAACGAAAGGAGGACAAAGAAAAAAAAGCCTCTAGCGTTTCAGCACTCATTTATGTTTTGATAGAGTTTAGCCGTGCAAGGAAGCCTATAAAACGCAAGCACCTAATATTAAAACACAATAATGTGTTGGTGGTGACTCCTTGTCTGGCACAAAAGCTAATAGAATAATATAATTAATACTTAAAATGTAACGACCGTGCAAGTTCCGTAATATAGTAAGAAGACAAAGACAGAATGATGCTTCCAGCTTTTCAGTAAGTTTTAAATTTGGATTGAGCTTAACCGGGCCAGGAAGCGTTTGAAATACCAACACATATTGTGAAACACAAAAATTGGTTAGTGGTTACTACTTGGCAGGCACAAAAGCTTATAGATTATAACCAGTACTTAGAGTGTAACGACCCAGCACAAAATTACTGAAAACAGTAGAAGGGCAAAGAAAGAAATATGCTTCCAGCTTTTCAGCGCTCATTTAGGTTTGGATATAATTTAACAGGGCAAAGAAACGTAGGAAATGCCCGCACCTCTGGTAAAAGACAATAATTGGTTAGTGGTGACAACTTTGCAGGCATAAAAAGCTATAAATTATAACCAGTACTTACAGTGTAAATGCCGACCACACTATTTTATTAAAACAGAAATAGGTCATAAAAAGATTATTCCAGCTTTTCAGCACTTATTTAGGTTTGAACAGAGGGTATACGGGCAAAGACGTCTATATAACGCAAGCACTTATTGTAAAACAACGATGTGAGGGTGTTTAAAACTTGGCTGGCAGAAAGGCTCTTTATTTATAAAGAGTACTTATAGTGTAACGACCGACCATACAAGTTACTCAAAACAGTATAAGGACAAAGAAGAAAAGATGACTCCAGCTTTTAAGTACTCATTTAGGATTGGATACTTTAGCCGCTCAAAGAAAGGTAGAAAATGCAAGCACCTTAGGGTAAACACAAGAATTTGTTAGTGGTTACAATTTGGAAGGCACAAAAGTTAAGAATTTTTTTTTACCAGAGCTTAGAGTGTAACGACCGACCACACAAATTACTCCAAACAGTAAGAGACCAAAGAAGAAAAGATGCTTCCAGTTTTTCAGCACTCAGATAGGTTTGAACAGAGTTTATTCGGGCAAAGAAACCTGTAAAACGCAAGTATTATGGTAAAACACATTTATGTGTTGGTGGCTATAACTTGCAGGCACAAATAGCAATTAATTATAAACAGTAGTGAAAGTGTAACGACCGACCGCTCAGTTTTACTCAAAACTCCATGAGGACAAAGAAATTAAGACGATTGCAAATTTTCAGCAAACATATAGGTTTTGATAGAACAGTCGGTCAAAGAACTTTTTGAAATGATAACACCAATGATTAAACACAATAATGTGTTGATGGTTACAACTAGGCATGCAAAAAAACATATTTGATTGTAATCAGTACTCAAAGTTTAACGACTGACCGCACAAGAAACTTAAAACAGTAGGAGGACAAGGAAAGAAAGATACTTTCAGCTTTTCAGCTCACATTTAGGTTTGGATAGAGTTTTACGGGCAAAGAAGCGTAGGAAATGCCAGCATCTTCGGTAAAAGACAGTGATTGGTTACTCATTACAATCTGGCAGGCACAAAAGCTTA